TTTTTCCTTTTTTTTTTTTTTTTGAGACAGAGCCTCAAGCTGTCATCCTGGGTAGAGTGCTGTGGCATCACAGCTCACAGCAACCTCCAACTTCTGGGCTCAAGCGATTCTCCTGCCTCCACCTCCCAAGTAGCTGGGACTACAGGTGCCCACCACAATGCCTGGCTGTTTTCTGATTGCAGCTGTTGTTGTTTGGTGGGCTTGGGTTGGATTTGAACCCGCCTGCTCAGGTGTATGTGGCTGGCACCTTAGCCGCTTGAGCCACAGGTGCTGAGCTTATTTTTCCTTTTTCTTTGAGACAGAGTTTCAAGCTATCGCACTGGGTAGAGCACTGTGGCGTCACAGCTCACAGCCATCTCCAACTCTTGGGCTTAAGTGATTCTTTTTCCTCAGCCTCCCAAGTAGCTGGGACTATCGGCAAAGAATAGATTTAGAATTATGATTTTGGGGGTGGCACTTGTGGCTCAAAGGAGTAGGGCACTGGCCCCATATACTGGAGGTGGCGGGTTCAAACTCGGCCCCGGCCAAAAACTGCAAAAAAACCCCAAACAAACAAACCAAAAAAAAACAAAAAAAAAATTAATTAATTAAAAGAAAAAGAAATATGATATTAGGACAATGAAATATGGTTTCTTTAGAGAGAAAAGGCTTGACTGATATTTAGAGATGGGTCTGAACTTATTTTGGGAGAAAGGTTTGCAGTGAAATACCAGCTTATGGTTATTGATTCACCTTTTCTATTAGTATCACATTTCTCTATTAGTTTTTGTTTTCAGCACTCAGCGTAGTCTGGTTATTTGCAATATTCATGTATTGTTTTTTGAATTCACTAGAGGATAGTAGAAAATGAGAAGATTAATGCAGAAAAGTCATCAAAACAGAAGGTGGATCTACAATCTTTGCCAACTCGTGCCTACCTGGATCAGACTGTTGTGCCTATCTTACTACAGGGACTTGCTGTGCTTGCAAAGGAAAGGTAAGATTGCAAATGGAGTTATTAGAGAAAGCAATATAGAATTCTCTAATTGAAATACCATTAGGACTGGGTGCAGTGACTTATACCTGTAATCCTAGCAATATTCAGAGGAGCAGGTGAGAGGATTGCTTCAGGTCAGGAGACATAGACTAGCCTGAGCAAGAGCATGATCCTGTCTCTACAAAAAAATAGAAAAACTACCCAGATGTGGTGGTGTCCGTGCCTGTAGTTCCAGCTACTTGGGAGGCTGAGGCAGGAGGGTTGCTAGACCCAAGGAGTTTGAGGCTGCAGTGAGCTATGATGATGCTGCTATACTACTGAACCTCTGGTGGCAGAGTGAGACCCTGTCTAAAAAAAAAAGAAACAAACAAAATAAAAGACAAAGGCCGGGCGCCGTGGCTCATATCTGTAATCCCAGTACTTGGGAGGACCAGGCATGTGCATTGTCTGAGCTCACGGGTTCGAGACCAGCTTGAGCCAGAATGAGACCTCGTCTCTAAAAATAGCTGGGCGTTGTGGCTGGTACCTGTAGTCTCAGCTAGTCAGTCTCAAAACCCCCCCCAGAATATAGGTATGTTTTTAATGTGTGATTTATGAATATTGAAATTTTTTTTTTGAGACAGAGTCTTACTATATTGCCCTTGGTAGAGTGCTGTGACATCACAGCTCACAGCAACCTCAAAGTCTTGGACTAAACTGATTCTCTTGCCTCAGTCTCCCAAGTAACTGGGACTATAGGTGCCTGCCACAACGCCCGGTATTTTTTTGTTGCAGTTGCCATTGTTGTTTGGCAGGCCAGGCTTGGGTTCGAACCTGCCAGCCCTGGTCTATGTGGCTGGCTCCATAGCTGCTGAGCTATAGGCGCTGAGCCAATATTGAGAATATTTTTAAGAATAGCCGTAATTAAATTTTTTTCTATCAGTCTTAGGTTATATGTATATTTATAATTATTTGTGGCCATGGTATACATAAAATTTTCTATCTCTTCTTAAAATTATGACTTAAAAGTTTTCTATATTTCTCCATAGTCTTCATGATTATAATTTATTTATGTATTTATTTTTGAGACAGAGTCTCACTATATTGCCCTCAGTAGAGTGCCATGGTATCATAGCTCCCAGCAACTTCAAACCTCTGGGTTCAAGTGATTGTCTTGCCTCAGCCTACAGGCGCCTGCCACAATGCCCGACTATTTTTAGAGACAGGGTCTTGCTCTTGCTCAGGCTAGTCTCGAACTCCTGAGCTCAAGCAATCCACTCATCTAGGCCTCTCAAAGTAATAGGATTACAGGTATGAGCCACCACGTCTGGCCCCATGATTATAATTTAAAGTATAATAATACCACATGTAACTTAGCCATTTTCCCACTGTTGAATGTTTAAGTTCAATTTCCTTTGTTTTTATAGGTCACCAGGCAGTCAAAATCTGTTTTCATGCTTCTTTTGCCTTTTTTATGATAAATTCCCAAGAATTAGTCTATTAGTTCAAAGGGCATGACTATTTTTATGATATTTGACATACAGTATCGTATTTCTGTCCAAAAGTTTGTCCTTAAAATTCTAGAGTTATTGTCGCCTCAATAACATGAATGTTATAAACTTTTTTGCCAAATTGTTGTAATTTACATTTTTCTATTAGCAAGATAATAGTTATTTACTTTTTCTATGTTTCTTTCCAGTGATTTTCACCTAAATTCTTTTGTGTAAATGAATCTATTAAGAGGCCGGGTGGCCTGGGCGGCACCTGTGGCTCAGTGAGTAGGGCGCTGGCCCCATATACTGAGGGTGGTGGGTTCGAACCTGAACCTGGCCAAACTGCAACAAAAAAATAGCCAGATGTTATGGTGGGCACCTGTAGTCCCAGCTACTTGGGAGGCTGAGGCAAGAGAATCGCCTAAGCCCAAGAGCTGGAGGTTGCTGTGAGCTGTGACAGAGCACTCTACCTAGGGTGAGAAAGTGAGACTCAGTCTCTAAAAAGGAGGCTGAGACAAGAGGATCACCTGAAGCCAAGAGTTAGAGGTTGCTGTGAGCTCTGATGCTATGGCACTCTACTGAGGGTGACAAAGTGAGATCTGTTCTCAAACAAACAAACAAAAACCCTGAAATCCAATAATTTGTTTTATAAATTAGTCAGCATTTATTAGATTTGTATTCTATTTTATTCAGAGGATGATAAACATTGCAGCAAATTGACAATTTAATAAGGAATTTAATGGAAATAAGTCTCATAGTAAGTTTAGTAACCTAGAATAGTTATATTAAATTTATATAAAATTATATTAATAAGCAATACATATTTGTTTTTCATTGTTGTATGATTGAGATATGTCCTGGCTCTACTTTGACAAGAAAATATAAAATATTGACATATTTTATATTTTTTTCTTTAAAAGAAGGGTAATATATTAGAAATTCTAAATTTTATTTTATTTAATTTTTTATTGAGACAGGTTCACTTTGTTGCCCTCAGTTGAGTGCTGTGGCATGATAGCCCACAGCAACCTCAAACTCTTGGGCTCAAGTGATCCTCTTGCCATAGCCTCTGGAGTAGCTGGGACCATAAGCGCTCACCACAATGTCCAGTTATTTTTGGAGATGGGGTCTCGCTCTTGCTCAGGCTGGTCTTGAACTCCTGAGCTCATGTGATCCACTCAACCTTGGCTTCCCAGAGTGCTAGGATTACAGGCGTGCTAAATGTTATTTTAAATGCTAGAAAAAAAATTTAAAAACAAAATTTTTTTTTTCAAACAGCATCTCACTTTTTCACCCCCAGTAGAGTGCAGTGGCATTATAGCTGACAGCAGCCTTAAACTTTTGGGCTCACATAATCCTCTTGCCTCAGTTTTTCATTTTTAGTAAAGACGGTATCTCATTCTTTCTCAGACTGGTCTTGAACTGCTGAGCTCAAGCAATCTGCCCTCCTTTGTCTCCCAGAGTGGTAGGATTACAGGCATGAGCCACCATACCTTTAAAACAAGTTTTTTTTTTTGTTTTTTTTTGAGACGGAGCCTCAAGCTATCCCCCTGGGTAGAGTGCCATGGCATCACGCTCACAGCAACCTCCAACTCCTGGGCTCAAGCGAGTCTCCTGCCTCAGCCTCCCAAGTAGCTGGGACTACAGGCACCCGCCACAACGCCTGGCCATTTTTTGGTTGCAGCCATCATTGTTGTTTGGCGGGCCTGGGCTGGGGATTCGAACCCACCACCTTAGGTGTATGCGGCTGGCGCCTTAGCCGCTTGAGCCAAAGGCGCCAAGCCTAAAAAAAGTTTTTGAAGAAGTTTTTAAGTAACAATTTACTCGTAAATACAATTTTTTTCTTTCAATTTGAGCTAGCTTTCACTTATCTTAGTTTAAAGGGTTTTTTGTTTTGTTTTATTTTTCTTTCTTCCTTTAGTGATTCTCTTGCCCTTTGCATCCCAAGTAGCTGGGTTACAGGTGCCTGCCACAACGTCCGGCTTTTTTTTTTTTTTTTTTTGGTAGAGACAGGCTCTCACTCTGGCTCATTCTGGCTCATGCTGGTCTTCTGCTGGTTTAAAACTCAGCTGAGCTCAGGCGATCCACATGCCTCAGCCTCCCACAGCGCTGGGACAACAGGTGTGAGCCACCATGCCCAGCCGTAAATACAACTTTTAAGGAAAGAGTTCTGACAAAATAATTTTTCAAATTAAGGGTAAATATTACATGAAAAATGTTATTTGTGTGTAGGCAGCCCAATGGGCTATTTAAAGTGTTAAGGGAATGTTTTGAGTTCATCGTACATCAGTTTTCTTTCTTTTTTTTTTTTGAGACAGAGTCTCACTTTGTCGCCCTCAGTAGAGGGCAGTTTTGTAACAGCTCACAGCTCACAGCAACCTCCAACTCTTGGACTTAAGTGATTCTCTTGCCTCTGCCTCCCAAGTAGCTGGGACTACAGGCGCCTGCCACAACCCCTGGCTATTTTTTGTTGCAGTTGGCATTATTGTTTTTAGCAGGCCTCTGCTGGGTTTGAACCTGCCAGCCCCAGTGTATGTAGCTGGTGCCCTAACCACTGAGCTACAGGCACCAAGCCTGTATATCAGTTTCAACGTGCCTTTTCATAGTAGAGTTTAGAATAGATGTCTCTCCAACTTTGCATCTTTGGACTTGTTTCCTCAATAAGAATAATTCATATAGGCTCAGCACCCATAGCACAGTGGTTGTGGCACCAGCCACATGGCACCTAGGCTGGCAGGTTTAAACCTGGCTCGGGCCTGCTAAACAACAACAACTGCACTAACAACAAAAAAATAGCTGGGCATGTGGCAGATGCCTGTAGTCCCAGCTACTTGAGTGGCTGAGGCAAGAGAATCCCTTAAGCCCGAGAGTTTCAGGTTGCTGTGAGCTGTGTGACACCATGGCATTCTACTGAGGGTGACATAATGAGACTCTGTCTCAAAAAAACAAATTATATAAAAGTGATACATTTGAAAAAATACTAAATTTAAAATAACACCTTTTTTTGAGACAGAGTCTCACTGTGTCATCCTTGGTAGAGTGCTGTGGTGTCATAGCTCACAGCAGCCTCAAACTCTTTGGGCTTAAGTGATTCTTTTGCCTCAGCCTCCCAAGTAGGTGGGACTATAGCCATCTTCCACAACACCTGGCTATTTTTATTTTTTGGTTGTAGTTGTCATTGTTGTTTGGCAGGCCTGGGCTGGATTTGAACCCGCCAGCTCTGGTTTATGTGGCTGGAGTCCTAGCTGCTGAGCTACAGGTGCCGAGCCTGTTGTAGTTGTCATTGATGTTCATCTGGCCTAGGTCAGGTTTGCACCCATCACCCTCAGTGCATGTGGTTGGCGCCATAACCACTGTGCTACAGGCGCTGCCAAAATAACACCTTTTAATTTTATAAATGTGTTTACCTTTAGTTGTGCTGTTTGTAATATTAGAATTCTTATTGATTTAAGTTATTTGAAAAAATAATTGGCTTTGAGAAAAGAAACGGCATGTCTAAATTAGTTTTGTCTCCTTTGATTAGTTACTTGAGCTCATCTGCATGTCTTGATGATGCTATGGCCATTGTCGTATATTGTTTTTTTCTTTAATTAATGGATAATAATGGAAAATTACATGCCATATGTATACAGCTTGATGGATTTTCACAAATTAAACACTATGTCATTTGTACTCAGAACCAGAAACTGAATACTATTAACACTTGAGAAGCCTCCTCTGTGACCCATTCATGTTGTTATGTTACCTGGGCTAACCATCCTCCTGTTATCTGCACATTTTTGAAATCTGTTCTTTAGAATTGAGTTCATAACCAAATTTAAGCTATACAAAAATTTTAGCATCTTTAAACTGTATTGGTGAATTTGCTTGCCTATTTCATTTACCATATTTATTACAAATGGCCTTTTGCTATGGAATGATACATTTTAATCAACACATCTAGAAAATATATTTCTAAACTTTTGATTTCTTTTCCTTTACAGACCACCAAATCCCATTGAATTTCTAGCATCTTATCTTTTAAAAAACAAGGCACAGTTTGAAGATCGAAACTGATTTATTGGAAAGAACAGAAAAATTTGATTGCTACTGTAGATTTACATGATTAAGAGGCAGCTTTAATTGCCATGATTATTTCCCCTTTTTGGAAGTATAAGAACCATCAGTACAACAGAACTTATTTCAGGAGTTGCAGAAGAGAACACATTTCCCTTAATTTGATTTAATCATCATACTTATTTAATGAGTGTATTCTGTGCAGTTTTTCTCAGATTGTCTTTAACTTTGTTTTTAAAATGACCTTCAAAATAAACTCTCAAAACATCATTATTTTAAAGTAGCTTTTGTTCTGTATGACAAATATTTTGTGTGGTTGAATTATTTTCATGAATTGCTTCTTTCTTGTGTTTTGAAATGGTGCAGTTTTACAATAGAGTGAAAATACAGGAGACTCAACTACAATATGAAAAACTCAACCATGCAACAAGGATTCCATTTTGGAAACAAACAAACAAAAGACCACAACCAATTTTCTATAGCTTTGTCTCTAGGCCTTTCTGAGGGTGGGATTTGGGCATTTTCAATGACTTAACAAAAATCACTGCTGATTCTAATGTACAAAAAAATTGTAGTAGTGATATTAGCATTACAGAGGGTATATAGTCCTCCAGTGCTATCAACCTTCATAGTAATAACTTACAGTCCTATGTGTCAGGCACAATTTTTTTACTTAAATTATCTATAAACTATTTTACTTAAATTATCTCTAACATAACCACTCTGCAGAGTAGATATTACTTCCATTTTGCAGATGAGGAAACAGACTTGGAGAGGTTAAGTGACATGCTCAAGACAACACTATTGGTAAGTGCTTGAATGGGAAGTCAGAAAACGTGTTGCTGATGGCTAAGTGAGAAGTAGTTGTGCTACTTAACGCCATTGCTTCTCTTTGCAGTAAAAAGCAGCAGCCAGTCTTCTTTTTTTTTGAGACAGAGCCTCAAGCTGTCCCCCTGGGTAGAGTGCCATGGCATCACAGCTCACAGCAACCTCCAACTCCTGAG